GTCATAAGACTCGTTCTTAGCTTCGTTGAGGGCTTTGTCCACGTCATCAAGCTTGAAATCCAAGTCCATGACTTTGTTTTTGGTGTTGCGAAGCTCATAGTTGTGCTTTGCTTGCTCTTCCTCCATGCTGTTGAACCTGTTAGCAATCATAGCTGCATCCTTGGTTGCACGTTCCTCTATTGAATTGACTTGTGAGGCTACGTTATCGATTTTTTCATTGAAAAGTTTTGATACCCCATCAAGCCTTTCGTTTAGAGCAGTTGTAGCGGTTGCTTGAGCTTCTATGAATTGTCTGATCACACCTTCGAGCTGACTCAGTCTGTTGCTGAGCTGGACGTTCTCATCTTGCTGGAGAACTTGGTGAGGTAGGCGATACATAGAGTATCTAGGGTTTGCCATTTGAGGTGCGTAGGGTTCCTTCTGGAAGGTTCTGTAGTCTTCGCTTTGAGTTTTTTCGTAGAGATCGCGTAGATGCTTCTCTCTGCGTCTGGTGGCTTGAGGAGTGTTATAGAAACCTTCCTCATATTGTATATTTCGATTTATAGGATCCATATCTTCTGAAATGGAAACAAAATAACCGAAAAATGGAAAATTGCAGAAAACGGGGTTCTAGAGTCGATTTACTAACCTTTCTCGGGGTTTTGCAGAAAAGAAAACGCGTGCCTTCCCCGGCAACGGCGCCAAAAACTTGATGGTGTGCTGTGGTGAGGGTGTCAAGTTTTACCCTAAATGAAATCAATAGCCGCAAGTGCACGGCTGATCGATTGTAGTACTTAGGGATCGAATCCACAGGGAAGGAGGATCTTTTCCTGCAAAAAGCCTTTAAAATAAGTTAAAGTAAAGAAGTCTAGAACAAAAACAGTTTTGTAGGGGTTTGGTAGTGTGTTTAAAATGTAAAAACGAAATATTAACAGAGAATACGGGAATTAAATGACGTAATAACTAAACTTAACGAAAATGACTAAAAATGATAAAAACGGATATTCATATGCTTAAATGAAAATCTACTAAAACGGAAAGACAATATTGAACTAGAGCTTGAAAGAAAATCGGTGTAAATCAATGGAAAAGAAGGCGTTGAGTTTCAGGGAAGTTTTCTCAGGGGTACGAACGATTCAAAACATTGCTAGAGAGGAAATTTGATAAGATCTTAGCTTAAACTTTTCGAACTGGAGTCACGGACGTATGAATACGCCACTGTTGTGATCATAGACAACTATCTCTCTCAACCCTGACCAGTAGGTTTGCACTCTGGCCCTGGAAGAGAAGAGATGAATTATGTTTAAGACTCGTCCTAATTCACAAATCGCCCATAGGTAGGTTTCCACTCCTCTGTTTGTTTTGCTCTCCCAAACTAGATCTGATACCTGATGAACACTTTCGTGTCACCAAGCATCTGGATCAGATTGTAGTTCATGACGCTACTCTCATGCAGTAAAAACGAATTCAGAAGAAAAAGTTCTAAGATTCGGCTCAAAAGCTCATGGAATCTTCATCGAACATATAAGTCCCCATCGAAAATCCCTTAATCCCAACAATAAAACTATTCAGACATAATGAACGAAATCAAAGACATAGTATTAAGAAGTAGAATAGAAACCGAAATTGAAAAAGAAAGAACAAGGGTTCAAGAGAACAAATCTCTCTTTCCCTAAAACCTAAAACTTAAAAGTATTCTAAAACAATAAGAAAGATAGCATATCTTTCGATTAGGGTTCCTAAGACATGTATTTATAGTGCTCAAGACCTCTCTGGACGTCACTTAGGGTTTCTCCAAATGTGGGCTTCAGAAATGGGCTTTTTGGGCTCGGAGGTTGATGGCCGCGGTCGGGAGTGCTCTGAACGCGGGGAATGGGTGGTTTGCCGCAGTCGGGATGCTCCTGAACGCGGGAAATTGCTTGTTGGCCGCGGGTGGAAGTGCTGGCCAGCTGGTTTACGGGATATCTTGCTCTTCGCGTATCTTTTGATTGAACCGTTGGATTGCCAAGCTGTAAAGTGTACTGGAAAGCTGATACTTCCATCTTTAAGGTCTCCAAATTTGAGCTGGATCAGACGGTGAAAAGGCCTTCAATCAGGGGTGAACTTCTGACGGTTTGACTCTGAGCTGAAATCTGGTTTTCTATCCATTTTGTTAAGTTTTTCCCTAAGTTTCCTGAAAAGAGTCTTGGAACTACAAATACTAGAAAAACGTGATAAAGGTACTTAAAAGTAATTATAAACATAGAAAAAGTATTTCAAAACGATCCATAAAAGTGGTCAAAATACGGTGTTATCAACGCCCCTCGAGCTTCCAATTTCCGTGCTGATTTCCTTGCGAAGAAGGCGCGCTTGCGAGGCCTTTGCTTCTCTCATGTGGGCTCGACGACCCCGACTGGCTCTCTCAAGCAGAAAGTCACCATCGGCTAAGTCGTTGAGTATGATCGTATCAGATGTCAAAAAAAAAAAAAACTATTCGAACATTTAATTTTGTTTTATCATTTATTAATTCAGCAAACAATCTGGGATAAATTATTTTAACTTAGTCATTTGTTTAATTCTATCAAATAATTAGGAGCATTTATCCACTACAAAGAAAGTGTCTCAAGTTAGTAATTTTCTTTCATAGTTGTGGTAACTTCAGTTCCATTTTCTGTCCAAAAAAAAAATGTATGTCTTAGTTTATTCTTTGAGCAAATTCTCTTACCTTCTCAAATCCCAACGGCAAGAAAATATTTTTCACTGACTGAGTTTTGTTTTTCCATTTTTATTTTCTCTACACACTGATATTCTCTTTCAACTAATAAAAGACAAATTGGTCATTATTAGTATATATGAAATTGGCCACCTGTTGTCTTAGCGGGTAGTCATCAAAATAATCTTAATATTATAATACTAAATTATTTTTGTACTAAAAATGTAAAAAAAATTATTTAATTTACAATAGTATTGAATAATCATTTGAATTAAAATGTTATTAGGGCTGCTTAGCAACTCTGCACAAACATCTAAATAGGTTAAAAAACTTTTGGTTATCTATTTCGGCGTGCAGTTTCTACATGTACATTGTATTAGCAGTGAACATTGAGTTCCAAAACTCTGATGACCTTAGGTTCACAGACACTCAACAAATAAAATTCCGTTATATTTAAAGACATCAAATAAAACTTGAAAACAATAAATTTGATAAGTCATTAACGTTAGAGAGAGCCTTGACATGTAAATAGATGCCACCAATGAAGACGACTCAGTGCTACAAAGTGGACCAACCAGCCTTTCGGTGAGACGGATATAAAATGCAAAGAACAAGGTGCAAGTGCAACGTGCATTTTGAGGTTCCATGAGAGAATTGATGTAATAAATGCCTGTAATAGGAAGGAGGGAGAAGAGTGTTTGTGTATGAGGTAAAGGAGGCTCATGTTCCTATAGATGCGAATAGTGGTCGGGAAGTTTAAAAGTTGAAAAAAAAGAGAAAATTGGAATATAGTTTCATAAGAAACATCACCATGTGCAGCAACGAACACGATGAAGGGCACATCCTCTAGAGTGATATGGAGATGCTTTATTTGTAAAAATCTATGCGGAAGAGAGTAAGAAAGAAGAGAGAATTGAAGAATAGAGAGAATAGAGAGAAACTGTATCTTATTTCTCTTTAACTGATTTGTACAAGGAGATACAAATATCTATTCTATTAAAATGAAAATATTTTTTAGTGCTTGCTTCCAAATACTCTTAAAACTTTATAAAAATTTGTTTGGAAGCAGTTTTAAAATTATCATAATTTATTGTAATATCACTTAAAAAACATATTTTATTTATATATATATAATTAATCTAAAAATACGATATTAATTTAGATAAGTAAAAATTTTCTTAAATATAGATTATTTTAATTTAAAATTCAAACTATTTAATTTTTGGTAATTAAATTTAATTCTGAAAATCAATATTAATTTAAATTACTTTAGATTTTTTTAAATATAGGTTAGATTCAATTTAACATTTGGAATTTAAATAATATTTTTAGAATAATACATATGATTAAAAAAATATGTTTTAGTATTTTTTTAATCATATTCAATCAAACTAAAATTTTACAGATTGAAAACTGATAAATATTAATATTAGATGGTAATTTGATGGGCGGGTTAGGTGTTTTTATAATTGTGGTCTTATGCGGGTTGAGTTATCAAAACATGCAATATATTAAATTAGAAATACAAACAATATACTGTACCAATCAATTACAAATACAAACAATATACCAGTCAATTACAAAACCAAGCAAACAGATTTAGATAACATAAACAAAACAGAGAGAGTATGTATATGAACATATAAATATGCTGCACTGAGACGGGTACGGGGACAAAAAACGGAGACGGAAACGGGGATGGGAAACGGCAAAATAAAAATTTATGGATACGGGTACGGCATGGAAACGTCAAAAATAATATATGAGAAATAATACCTTAAATTATAAATAAAAATAAAGTAACATATAAATCTTATAATAAAAAACACCTTTGTCTAAAATCTTAACATAAAAAAACACTTATGTCTAATATAAGTTAGTCAAGCAATAAATTTTCAAAATCTGGCTCATCAAGCGAAAGATCAGAAAACTCCAAAAACCCTACATCTTCCGTAGAATCAAATCCATCTCCACCAACATCCCACATCTTGGTCTTTTCATCTTTATATTCATCATCATTATTCCTTGATAGAAGACGTAGATTATTGTGGATGAAAACCAAATCTTGAGCACGACTTGAATCCAACCTGTTTCTTCTTTGTGAATGAATAAATTTGTAAGTGCTCCAATTACGCTCAGCACAAGAAGATGAAGTAGGTTGTCCAAGCAACTTAAAAGCCAAAGTCTGGAGGAGAGGAGCTTGGGCACCAAAGTTAGCCCACCAATGTTTGGGTTCCATAGTAGACATTGCTGAAATGCATGTTAAATCCCCAAAAGAACCACCTTTCATCGAGAATAATGCATACTCGTTCAAAACTTTGAGATGATCATCAGTATTGGGAAACAATCTTTTGAAGCACTTTATCCTCTCATGTGAGATTTCAGCATCTTTATGTGGACCAATTCTTATAGAATCTTCATTTAGCCATGCTTCACTATAAAATCTGCCATATACAAAAATATGTAATATAATTATGTTAAGAGCCAAGGAAACAAACAAAATAGATAAAAACATATAGTTTAAGATCTCATAACTCCATAATGGAGCATCATCACTTTGGTTGGTATCAGTAGATCCAATGTTGCTACTATCAACGTTATTATTATGTCCTTGAGATTGATCCATTTAATCAAACTGCATAAAGTTTAAAAAAAAAAACTCAACGAACAAGCAAACAACAAGCAACGAAGAAAACAAATAAAGCGCAACAACAAATAAAATAACAAAACTAATCGATGCTATGCAACACAAACAAGTCACACATATATTTATGTTATTGTTTCTGGAATTGAATAATACGAACAACGGAACAACTAATATTAACTTCCTTTTAATGTTGATCATCTAATCAATTAACAATTGTTACTAATATATATATATATATATATATGCTATCGTTTATCTATGGAATTGAGACAAAAAAAATAAAAAAGGCATCAGAATTCATAACTATAATAGCGACAAGAGTACAGAGATGTACTTAGGTGAAACGTGAAGAGACGTATGAGATGTAAGAGGTGCTTGGACTTGCTTGCTAGTTTTCGTGAATAATAGGTAAAAAAGAGGCAAAGTTATTTGGTAGTAATTAAGAGGTAAGATGAATCTCTTAAATATAACTCAAACCCTAAACGTGTATTTTATTTTTTCCTTTTCTTTCTTTAGGTTGTTTTGTAAAAAAGGAAAATTAACAAGAAACGTTTCTGAAACGTTTCATTAACGTTTCCATAACGTCCCCGTTTTCTGCTTGCCGTCCCCACATTATGTGAAACGTATCCGGGACATTTCGACGCCGTCTCCGTGAAGTACCTGTCTCCGGGACGTTTCGGATACGGGAGACGGCTGCATATACACGTCCCCGTGCTTCACATACACACACATGCACCGGAGATGTAGAGATGTTTCACCGGAGATGTAACATGCGCACAACACAAAACACACAAAAGACAGAATCCCTTTATACACACAATGAAGAGAAGCTACAGATATTCTTCTTCTTTTTTCCAAACGTCTTTCTTATTAACTAGAAAAGAAATAAGACTATTTCATTCATTCATTGCTCCAATTCACTACTACTAGGGTATTAGTTTATGTAAAAGCCCAATGATCACAAAGCTAATGAAATAGAGAAGTGCATTGCACATAGTATTAGAATCACATAAGGCAAACTAAGACGAGAATTGCACACAAGTAAAAAGTTTGAGATGAAGATAAATACCTGTAGTACAGCCTGATAGATCAGCCTCTCGTCATTCTCTGAACACAGATAAAACACCATTAACAGATGAGTACTAACAACAGACACATCAAATACTCTAGACGATATTCCACTAGATTCACGTTCAAAATCACACAAAAATATTTCACCAGAAGAATCGAAATTCCAGGAAAACGCCAGAAATGGACAAGAGAATCTTTGCAAGGGACATTTAAAAAAGTTATTAATTGAGCAGATTGAATATCAAAACCACATGAAAAGTGAAAAGTGTGACCAAACAGCAAAAACCTGAAGAGATTATCTAAGAGAGGAGAGCTTACGCGAGAGAAGCTTGAGCTGAGATTGGAGCTTGCGTCAGACCGAACCGTAGTATAACAAAGTTGTTGGGTAGATTACGGAAAACGAAAAAACTGAACTGTGGGGTCTTTTTGACATAAAAAGAAAGTACGTGGCTAAAAATAAAATAAATAAAAAGATATCTGAATTCAAGTTAATTTTGATAAGTTTTATAACGTTGGGCTCAATTTAATGGTAAATTTGCGTAAGTGGCCCACATGAAACAGAAAGTTAATATTATTTGACCCCAGAAAGGTGAATAAAAAAAGCACGTGTGGTCCATCTTTCGTTTTTATAAACGGAAAATTTTATTCCTCAGCGAGACCAAGACGTAATTTCGCTTCTTCTCCTTTAACCCTCAAAAACTCAAAAAGTCTCTTGGCTAGGCTAGGAGGTGACGTCATCTTCACCTTCCCTGAAATTTCACACCTTTTTCCCGTTTTGCCCTTGGTTAGAGAAACCTTCCTATTTCCGCTGCTTCGCCTTTTTCAATTTCCTCGAAGATTTTTTTTTTTCTTCACCCTGGGTTCTAAGATTTTCCTCTCAGTTTCGTAGTCTTTTGATCCGAGGTAGGTACAGAAGAAATTTCACCTGAATTTTTAGTTACGGTTCGTCCTCTTCGGAGGGAATCAATTTCACCTTTGATCACTTTGTCCGCGATTTTTTTTGTTTTCAGAAAATGGAGCTCGATTTTGAAGCTAATAATTTGCTTGAAGACGAAGCTGCTGAAGTTGGACATAATGTTAGTGTAAAGTTCGACTTTCTATGCTATTTTCTTCGCTTTTCGTTGAACTAATTATGGGTCCACCTTTTTTTTTTTTTAAACCTGGAGCTCGAAACTTGTAGTTTCCGGTGTAAATGATATGTAGTTTCATAGTTTGAATCATGAACAGAAGCTGATACATCAAGCATTTCATCTAACAAACTGTGATTGTGCGTTATTAGTTCTCGTTTTGATTTTAGTTTCTTTCTACAGGATGAGGCTGGAATTGAAGGGGAGAGATGTGGGATTTGCATGGATATAATCATTGATAGAGGTGTTCTTGATTGTTGTCAGCACTGGTAATAGCTTATGTTTCTCTTCTAGTATTATTTTTTTCTATATCCTGATTTGTGCTTAATAAGTTGTTTGTCAAGGAGCAGACTGATAATTGGTGTCTATGTCTGATAATATTCAGGTTCTGCTTTGAATGCATTGATAATTGGTCTACGATTATGAATCTGTGCCCTCTCTGTCAGAGAGAGTTTCAGTTGATTACATGTGTCCCTGTAAGAAATCTCATGCCTGTTTCTTATCTGGACATATCTCATCATTTTTGTAAGTGGAGCTCTTGGATTAGGTAATGAGTTTTCGGTTTTAATTTTGAAGGTGAATGATTCAGGTGAAAGCAGCAAGGTTGATGAGGCTTCGTTATCAGGGTACTATACTCATGGTTTTATTTTTTGTTTTTCTCGTGTTTGCTACTGTGATGAACTTTACTTGCCTGAACAATCTAAGTGGTGTCTTTGTCTTTATCTATGAACGGCCTATCGTGAATAAATTGATACTAAATGACATAACATGATCAAGTGACTGAAAAGTTGGTTGTGTACCATAGATTACTGTATGTGCTGAAAATACTGTTGTTAACTGCTGACGTTAAGCTAAACTATCAAATACATGCAGAGATGAAGATTGGTGCATTGAGGAGGAGACTGACGGCGTCTCTTCTCCGTCACACTATATTGACGAAAATGTAAGTATATTAGATATGGGTTCTCCTGGCCATTACAAAGTACGCTAAGCTTTTCTAATCATTTTGTAGGCAGTTATCTGTTTAGATGGAGATCTTTGCAAGATCCGTAACAGCTTCAGTTACATAGGAGGGGATTCCAACCTCGATACATCAATTGCTTGTGATTCTTGTGATACATGGTAATCATTACCATGGATATTGTTTTTTTATGTGTAAAGTCTCATGTTGGTTGTATTACCTGCTTTGTTGGATCACTGAAGTTCATCAACTGGTGAACTTCTGATGCTCTTTAAGTAGGTACAGTGCCATAATGTTTGCGTCTTCTATGCTTTAAAATGAAGATTATTGTGTTTAAAGCTTAGTTGCCCTACCGGTTTTTAAATGCGATCACTATAATATGACATGTAAACGACAAAAGATACTTTTTAATCTTAGACGTGCATGTTCTTCCTTTTATGTTGTTCTAGATTGTTCATCTTTAGAGCATTGTTATATGGTCTTAGATGTATGAACGATAGTTATCTTCTAACTGTTGCTTTGCCCTATGTGCTAACAGGTATCATGCAATTTGTGTGGGGTTTGATCTTGAAATTGCATCAGAGGATACATGGGTATGTCCGAGGTAGGTTCCATTCACGTATCGATGATATATGATTGTTGAATCCAGCGCCACTTTCATTGTATTGTCTCTGTTAGTATTAGCCTATTAGGCATACATATTTTTATGGGAGAGCTTCTAATGAATTGCTTAATCTTTCCCGCGTGCCACTCTTATGTTTAACTAGAAAACATACAGCGTACCTAATCTGAGTGATATCTAATACATAGGCATATTATCCCTCCTTTCTCTATATTTTTCAGCAATCTTGTCAAAGTGTCTCTTCCTTTGCTTTGTCTCCACAGATGTCTCTCTAGTGAAAAAGCACTTGAACCTGATGCTTCACCTATGGAGACAAGACAGCCCCTGGATAATTCTGAGAGGACAACTAGCGGATGCTCAGTCGAGGCTGTTTACTCAGGAAATTTTTCAGTTACAGTTGCCGATGATGGCGAAACAGCTCTTGTCGTATCAACAGTCAAAGGAGACGAGTGGCTTATGAAACCAAGTGATACCACCACTTTGTCAGTTCAAGCTACGATGGACGGAGACCCTGATAGCTCGCATCTGGAATTATGTCGTGAGAAGAAAAATACAGAGCATGTCCCAGGGAAACTGGAGTTCACGCAATCCTTACCTCATGATGTATCATCTGAAATACCATCTGATTCAAATCAGAAACTGTTTGCTGCACACGTGGAGAATAGCGCAGGTATATTGATTTGTAATACAAATTTCACTAAGGCTTAGTTGCACTTTCTTGACACGTATAGATTCTCAACATGCTTTGTCCCTTGTTGCTGCTGGGTGATAATTTAGCCTTTTGTGCAACTGTACCCCGTACAGGACTTGTAGAAAAAGATCGTCAACCTGTAAATGTTCAAGAATGTAAGAAACATTCTGTCCTTTGTTCTCCTGTTTACCTTCTGCTTTCTTTCATGTTTCATGGTCACATGTAATTGGATCATTGCCTGAATCTGCATAGTTTAACATGGTCTTACATGCTGCAATGTGCTTTCCAGCTCTTTCCAGTACAGCCATATCCAGTTCTGATGTTGCTAGTGTTATCAGCTTAAAGAGAAAGCATACAGATTGCAGGTCAGCTTCACAGATGAAATATTGTTTTTTGGTACCTTATTCCCTCTTTACTCTGCTTTGTGTCAAATGTTTGAGCGGTTGCTATTTCGCTGTGGCATTTTTGTACCAGTGGTAATGATGGCAATTCGGAAACTAAGGCTGAGATTGCAGTACCACTTGTCGAACCAAAACTTGAGGAAATAGAAGAAAAAGCTGCCATTCACCAGGAGAGCAGATCCCCTTCAAATAATACGACTGTTGATATATTCAGCATTATCAAAAGAACTGGGCGTAAAAAGAAACCCATGCGACCAAATATTACGGATAAGTCTTTAGAAGGAGAGAATGCTCTTGGTTTGAGGGTAAAGAAGATTAAGAGGACACCGGAAGATGATAAAGAGTCACTGGTTCTGGTTGAGAAACTAAGGAAAGAAATAAGAGAGGCCGTTCGTAATAAATCAATGGAAGACATCAGAACAAACCAATTTGATCCAAAACTCTTGGCTGCCTTCAGAGCTGCTGTCGCAGGACCTAAAAGTGATGATACACCTAGAAAAATTCCGGCTTTGTCAGTAAAGGCGAAGAAGTTGATGCTGCAGAAAGGAAAAGTTCGAGAGAATCTCACGAAGAAAATTTATGCAGATTCAAATGGGAAGCGGAGAACTGCATGGCACCGGGATTGTGAAGTCGAGTTTTGGAAGCATCGGTGCATAAAAACTAGAAAGCCTGAAAAGATTGAGACTTTGAAGTCTGTTCTTAGCCTCTTGAAGAAAAAACCAGCTGACGTCGAAACAAACGTTTCGTCTGAACCCCCACAGGCCTCAAATCCTATTCTCTCCCGATTATATTTGGCAGATACCTCAGTGTTCCCGAGAAATCATGATATCAAGCCTCTTTCGGCATCAAAAGAATCAGGGACCTCTCAAAACAGTGCAAAAACTACAGAAGCGGACAAGACCTTACCAAAAATCAGTGATACTAAGGGGAGCAGCTCAAAAGCTGCTCTATCAAAAACAAACTCGGGAAACAAACAGTCTATAATGGAGACGTCAGATGATCTGAAGAAAGACAAAAGGAAATGGGCATTGCAGGTTCTTGCAAGGAAGAAAGCTATAGCAGGCAACAACTCAAGCGAAGACAAAGAAGGCTCTCCCGAGCTCAAAGGGAATTATCCATTGTTGGTGTGTAATTCTCAGCCTTTGCTTTCTCGCTTTTAACAAATCTGGTGTTTTGAGATTGTTGCTTGTTTCTTTCTATGATTGCTATCAGGCTCAACTTCCAGCTGATATGAGGCCAGCTCTTGCAACCAGTCGCCATAATAAAGTTTCTGTTGCAGTTAGGCAGGTACGTGATTAGTTCTTTCTTTACTTAAATTCTAGTTCCTCGTGGTATTGATTTGTTCTATGTTCATAATAAGTTACTTGAGTTCCAGACAATGAAGGAGAGGTTATTCTTGTTAGTTCTGGGTTTAAAGGTAGAATAAGTTGAGCTATGAGAGATCTGCTTCAATTTATGTTTGATAAGATTGTGAGATTATTTTCCTTTGGCCCAAAATTTGTAGATCAAAATCGTAAGATTTTATGCTTGCCAATTAGCTTCATCTTCATGTGTGCTTCTATAACGGTTACATATATGAAGCAGATCTCGGGCTAATCTATTATTGAATTGCCTGGAAAAACTATACCAACATCACAACTCGTGGAATCGCTAGCTTTATTATTATTACCGCATGTGCTTGTTTTTGTTCATAAGTAAATCACTCTTGCTGCAGGCGCAACTATATCGCTTGACAGAACATTTCTTGAAGAAAGAAAATCTTCTGGATGTTCGAAGAAGTGCAGCGACAGAACTAGCCGTTGCTGATGCTATAAATATCGAGAAAGTGATCGCTGACAAATCAAGTTGCAAAGTTGTGTACCTGAATCTATGCTCACAAGAAATACTGCACCATTCAGAGAGCAAAGCAATGGAAAATAATGCCGTAGAACCAAATTCTTCATCAGCATTGGCTAATAACGGAACTGAAGATATCAGTGATAAAGAATCAGAAGATCCAGCCATCCTTCAAGCGCTCAGAGCAGCAGGTCTTGTTGATTCACCACCAAACAGCCCGACCCATTCAACGGAAGTTCCTCCACATAATGGAGACAGTTCCTTGGACAAAGCCAGGGACGTAGGCCCAGATAATGTACTGGACACAGGAACCATTCCTGATACAGACATCTTTGGGGACTTTGAGTATGAGTTGGATGAGGAAGACTATATCGGTGCTACGATGGCTACAAATGCTTCAGAAACACTGCCGGACAAAGGTTTGACTAAGGTGAAAGTAGTTTTCTCCACTGTTCAACCTGATAAAGTTATAAACCAATCCGAAGTCTTGGGGAATGAAGAAACTACTGCGAACCAGAAAGAGATCAGAAATGGCGAAGAAGACGGGAAGAGCATTGTTCCTATGGAGCCTGTACCTGAGCCTGAGGCCGAGGGCGAGGGAGAAGGAGAGGGAGAGGGAGGTGAGATCCTTTCTCTAGCTGAATGTGAAGAACTGTACGGACCTGGTACAGAGAAACTAGTTGAGAAACCTCTCATTGAAGGATCTGCTGATAACGGTATTCAAGCTAAGGCACCTGATTCAGAGTGCGAGAGCAACACGCACAGAGAATTCATCGCTTCAAACTTTGAGAAGCCGTCCATTCAAGAGAAAAAACTTCCCAAAAGGATTCAAAAGTGTAATCCAAGCGAGAAGCCGTCGAAAGAAGAGAAAAGCAAAGCTGATGGGTTCACTAACTCCGTCACCAAGAAGGTAATAAAATCTGTTAAATTCCTCATGTAAAAATCCCTTTTTGATTACCGTTTTGTTTCTTTTTTTTTAGGTGGAAGCATACATCAAAGAACATATCAGACCACTGTGTAAGAGCGGAGTGATAAACGTGGAGCAATACAGATGGGCAGTGACTAAAACCTCAGAGAAAGTGATGAAGTATCACAGCAAAGCCAAGAGTGCTAATTTCTTGATCAAAGAAGGCGACAAGATCAAGAAACTGGCCGAGCAATATGTTGAAACCGCCGCTTCCTCTTCCTCGGGAGCTCACCACAAGGACAAGGACAAGTCTAAATGACTAGCAGATGCGTAAATAAGATGATGAAGGAAACAAGTAGCTCAGTATTAAGACGTAAATAGGTTTTTATTTATCTATTTGTCTCCTCCACGAACTTTGGAGATTCTATCTTCTGTCAGGCCATTGCATAACCTGTTTACGAGGTCTTGAAACAAATATATGAAGATATGAAGATATATTTATTGTATTAGAGATTGCTCCCAGATTATTCCCAGATTAGGTCACTGATTAACCTAAAACCAGCAAGTCAAATCGTCGATAATAATCAACAAATACCTAAGTGTAAAAGACGATATCGTTTGAGAGAAAATAGCGTGTGTTACAAGGAATATGAAGCACTATTGGGCTTTTAAAAAGCCTCTTGGGCTAACCCGACTCGGTTCTTGAGAGAAGTTTTAAAACGGTTACGTATTTACTGAAATTATTAAAATGTCCTTAGCACTTAAGGCTACTTCCTATAATGACGCATTTTTGACAAAAACTTACGTGTTCAGTTACTATAATGCCCTTGAAACTTAAGGCTATTTGCTATAGTGACACACATTGATAAACATTTTGCGATGGTCAGTTACGGAGTTGGAGACGAAAAGCTGTGCAAATCGCCATTCCTCGTCTTGCCAAAAAAATTTCCGATTCAATTTCTAGGGTTTCGGCAGAAGAAGAGAAGTGCTCCGCGAAACTCCAACAAGCCCTAAGTCCGTCACTCTCAAAGCTTCTTCTCAAGGTATTTATGTTCATTTTTACGAAGTTTTCATGCCTTAATCAATGGAAATCATCCCTTCTAACTTCCTCTCTCCTTCTCGTCGCATAATCAGCTTCTCTTTTTCCTTTATAATCGCAGTACCAATCGCAATCGTTTTTCTCCCTACTCTTCGCTCTCTTCGCGTCTCACCGGAATATAAATCTGGATAAACCTATGCCGTCGACGTCGCTAGCGAACGGTACTGTGAACGGAAACGCAGATTCCGTGCCTCTTGGTGTCGGAGGAGAGAGAGCCGATGTTGTGGCGGTGTTCACGGATGATAAGCCCGGAGTGTCCATGATGGAGCAGTTGGTTCCTGAGATTACAACCCACGCGCTCAGTTATTTGGATTATCCCAGTCTTTGCCGCTTGTCCATGACGAACTCCTTGATGAGGAAGGCTGCTAATGACGATAATGCTTGGAAGGCCCTTTATCACAAGGTAATTTGGACTCCGTTATCACTCATTTCTCATATGTTTTCTGTAAATCGCAATCTTTTGTTTTAGTTTACGAATGGAGATTTTGCAATTGTCTTAGTATCTCTGGTTCTAGGTTTAGTTCTTTGCAAAAATTGGTTTAAGAGACAGTTTTGAGATGAGACACAGTTTTAAGCTCATTGGAATTATTTGTTTTCAGTTCTTTTTGCTGAATGAGAGATTAACACATAAGTAAACTATCTTAAAACACTTATTGAACAAAAATTCAGGACTCGTGACATGTGATAGTTATGCTAGAGTACTGATTATCCATGTTTCTGTAGCGTAGAGTATTCAACCACTAACGTATGGGTTGATTTGCTAGCCTATCGTTATGATATATCGGCTTATATGCTTACTGTCTCGATACGTTATTCAAGATATCTATTTAGCGTTTTCCGGCTTCACGAGGGTCTAGATGAATGATAGTTTGTATTCACTCTTTTGGCCAATGTTTGCCTTAGAGTGGTTATTGGACAAACTTGCTGATCGTTGTCTTGCTTTTTTTGCTCGTTTCTACTAGGATTTTACGCTGGAACAAGTTAGTGTAACACCAGTCAATGGGTGGAAAGCATACTATGCAGCTACTAGAGCAATCATTAGTGTGAATACCGAATTCTTCAATATCATCAGAGAGAGGTCTCTTCAAGAAATGGCTCAATTATGGCTGAACTCGGACTATGTGAAGTGCATCCATGCCTCAGGCGAACTTTTCTCTGGGTACCAACTACACATTTCTCCCCTTCCTTTTCCTTTTGAGGAATACATGAAATATTTATCGTTTTTGTTACGGCTGCATTTTGTTCTGTCACCCTAATGTGAACCTAGCATGTTCAGTAACGGTTTTGGTTATGTGCTTTTACGATATTATGTGTAAGATGGGTCATTTAGGTGCTCTTTGAGTTTGTGTATACTAGCGGAATGCATTGGACTCAGTATTAGAATGCACTCGTGCAGTTCCTAGTATACAACACGTTAACAGTGTAGTTTGACAAAGCAAAAAAAATAATAAGAGTATTTACAGCTATAGCATACATGGTTAACAGTGGTAACTCCACAGTAGCTCTAAGAGAATTTAGATTATATCAGCAATTTCCCTTTGCTATGTATCAAAAATGGGTAATGCGGTTCTATAGTTTTGAGTCTGCTTTACACCATTACATTCTTAGCCTTAGATCAGTAGATACATCTTCCCCGAGATCTTTACATTAAGCGAGATTGATCGATCATTGGTATGAATCGACTCCTCAAAATGTGCAGGTACAACGAAGTGATGCAAAGCTGGGAACTTTGTTTCAACTGGGAACAAGGGTTTGACTTTCAGGTCCACAACGTTCGGAGTCGGATACTAACAGACATGGCTTGGGTCACCATGAAAGCATACCTGAATGTGGACGCTGGTCCATTCCTCATCACCAATGTGTTTGAGTTCCACAATGGGAGGTGGCACATGGTTCATCACCACAGCTCAGTGATGCTCACCGATGGCGTCAATCAACAGGTTTAATGAATGATATTAATATTTTTAGTTTTGTTTTCCCTCTCTTCTTTTCATTTTTTGGTTTCCTTTATAAGGGAACCTAAAAAATAAGGAAGAAGGAACTGCGTATTGGAAATCTTATTAGATTAAAAATAGTGTTTATTAATTTGATTTTTAACGATGTACTGAATGCTTTTTCTACAGTTGCTCTTCAATTGTTGCTCTAATTTTTTTCCTGCTAATTTCTATTTGGGTTTTGGGATTTAACCAATGGTGAGAAATTGATTCAAAGAGTATCGCAAACAGTTTGTACAGGACTCAGTACATTGAGGTGCTACACTCTTACTATTAAATCCAGTAATTGTTTGTTTACGTAAACCAATTGAAATCTGCAACTAAATAGAGGCCATTTATACAGACTTAACAGCGCTAGGATTGATAATTTGCGGAACTGCGTTAAAAGTGATTTTGATTAACAAAATTTTGTAGAATGAAAATAAAATGTAACATACGTTTTTGCTTAATTAAAATACAAAATAAAAGTCATTAAGCAGAAAAATAACTTATACATAGAATATTTTATTCTGCAACATTATTTCTGCTATTCAGCAGTTACGCCTTCAAGAGCCTAGGACTGATGTCGACTTTTCGAGTTCACATGTTTTTTACACGTCACACGAAGAAGCTTACTCCGGTTAAGATTTTTGGTTAACGTAAGCAAATTTTTCACATGTACCGAGTACCGACACCGAGAATGACATAGTGGATGCCACGTAGGATCGCTGAAACGGTGAAACGGCGTCGTTTGAACGGAAACTAGAACATAATAAGCCCAGGAAATCTCCGATTACCCGATTTGGCTTAATCTCCGGTTTCAAACAAACACCGACGAAACATTCTGAGAAGTCCCTTCACTCAAAAAAACCCTAATGGAGACAGAGACGAAGGAAAAGATCGAGAAAACGGTGCGAGAGATTCTGAGTGAATCGGACATGACAGAGATGACGGAGTTCAAGGTTCGTAATCTCGCTTCGGAGAGACTCGGCATCAATCTCTCAGAGAAACCTCTCAAGGCATACGTACGACTCGTCGTGGATTCATTCCTCGAAGAGCAGAAATCGAAAGAATCTGAACAACCGGAGAAAGAAGAGGAAGATGAAGAAGTAGAAGATAGATCTAAGGAAGGTCCTAAGGGAAACAAAGAGTTCGACGATGACGGCGATCTCATCATTTGCCGGGTTCGGTTTCAAATTTTGTTCACTACTCTTTTCTCAAATTCGAATTCATACTTAGTCGAATGTTTGTTTCTGATTTATTATACGATTTTGTGGGGTTTTGGTCAGCTTTCGGATAAGAGAAGAGTGACGATTCAGGAGTTTCGAGGAAAGACTTTGGTTTCCATTAGAGAGTATTACAAGAAAGACGGCAAAGAACTTCCTACTTCTAAAGGTACATACTTTAAGCTCTCTTGTAAAAACAAATTGTTTGGAAAACCAGAAATTGCTCCTCTCATTTTGGAAATTCTTTTAGCTACATTCTTGACTTGGGTGTTTGAATTGCTTCTTCCATTTAGCATATTATGTGTGAAATGTGAGCCAAAAATTTAACATTTCCTTTCAAAGTTCACTTTTGAGTTACATCAAAGTGAATTTCGAAGCCAATGGGATTGAGAGTTTATATAGGCATGAGTTTATCAAGTTCCATTTTAGTACATACTAGAAACTAGAAAGCCTAGCTATTTGGAAACCATTTTGCCTGAACAGATTTGACTTAGTATGTATGACATGGATGATTCTCTTGTTGACTCATGATATAGGATTCGGTTATATCCTTATGAGAATCGTACTTTGGGTTTAGATATAGCTTTACACTTTGTACTCATCATATTATCTGCTCTATTGATGGTTAATTACTATTAAAAAAAGATATCCATTGTTCTTAAAAGCAACTTGACAATGTATTTTTTTATAATGTATCCAGGAATAAGCTTAACAGATGGACAATGGTCAACGTTCAAGGAAAACATTCCAGACATCGAAAAAGCTGTCAAGAAAATGGAATCTCGTGTCTGAAGAACATGTGATTCTCCTCTCTAAACATGTGTTAATTGTCTGCGTAATCTAGTGGTGCCGATGTTATTGTCTTATGTACCTGCGTTTTTTTTTTCCGGAATTGGTCGTAATGTGCTTCCACAGTAGTAGTATGCTTGCTTATCCATTTAACTGATTCTAACAAAATCGAAAACGAATTCAGAAGTAAACAATCCGATTCCGTTTAACTTTGTTATATATCCAAACAAACCGTAAGGAAAACCAAACTAGCCCTCCAACTTATAAACCGACTAAAGCCTAAATTTCTTTGAAAATCTTCCTAAACCGAATCCGGACTTGAGACAAAAGCATATAAAAAAAAAAAAGAACCAAAAACTGAATTGGATACAACTCTTTGTATACTTTTTCATTTCTGAAACGGGTTTGCTTTACAATATACTCTTTTTGCTCACAAGGATTAGAAATGAGAAATCTCGCAAAAAAAAAAAAGAAAACATCTGTGATCATCAAACCTAACAGAAGTATGTGTCACTGTTTTTTCGGGATCCGGACGATAAGTTTCTTCTACCTCGAACCATCTCTGAGGCAGAGTTTGAAGAAGCTTCAGCTGCAGCTGCAGCAAACCGGAGCTGATCAATCAAAGCGTGTGTATTGCCTTCAACCGCCAAAATCTCTTCAAGCTGTTTGCTTCCGATCACCACTTTCGCTTTCCAAACTCCGTTTCTTCTTTGCGGCGACACTTGTATCTTTGGCCCAACTGTTCTAGGGCTTAAAGTACCTTGTCTAACAAGGTACCCTAGAGTTTTCTCCCTGGTTATTGGCAACGAGCTACACCCCCGGTTTCTGTAATATTCTTCCATGATGTTTCTTGAATCTGTCTGAATTACGGTAACTGAACCACCACCGTCGGATACTGCTCTTTGAGAGCAATTCCCCATCTTCACAGAGACTAAAAATGAAACAAAGGAATAAAAGAACACAGAGAGAGTTCGAAACGAAACTTTGAGTTTGATTTGAGTCCTTCTGGTTCATGATGGCTTTTATAAATAGAAGAGTACGTAACTCTCAGACAAGGATTGATCGAACAGTCTCTGCGTTGTCTCTTAACACTCTAATCAGTGCATGTGATACTCCTCGCTGTTTGTATAATACTTATCCTCTCATCCTTTAAAATTTTGTCTTTTGTTTTTCTCTTACACTCGCGCTATTTTCTTTTCTATTTAATCATATTAATATGACATCAATATACATAGTTGCATTTTTGATAATAATGCATGTGTATGTCTGAAGCTGAGTGAATATCTTCGGAATATACAATGTGAATTTTCTTCACAATTCTAAAAAAATGTGCATGCATACAAGCCTGTATACATAGTAACATATATATATATATTATATATATAATACAAAATATCATAATAATACAAGAAATAGACGTATTTACACTAAGGACAAATAGTTAATATGACCCGTGGGGTTGCTGGTTGCACCAATAATGTGTTTGATTCCGTTTATTAGTTTTGGAGTTGCACCAATAAGCTATTAACTTTAGAAATAATTATCGTTATAATTCTTTTTTTATTGTCAACGTATGGTCCGTTATGGATGATATTTTCATGAAGAACAAAAAAGCTTAGGGATGATAATGTTAATTTTATTTTTGCTATTTGTGTGTAGGGAAGGAATATATCATTATCAGCCACGACTTAAGAGAGCCCGTGACCTAAATTTCATTAATCATTCACGGGTTAAATGAAAGAAAAAAAATGAGAGAAAGCTACTCGCTGACAGTCAAAGAGTTCATAATAGGCGAAAAATAATATTTTAAGGGCCCAACCGGGTTCGAACCGGTGACCTCTCCATCTGCAGTCGAATGCTCTACCACTGAGCTATGGACCCTTTTGTCCTTTTCCATGATTTAACTTTTAATGGCTTATTAACTTACTAGATCTATTAATCAATGTCTGAACTCTAAACGATTATGTACATGTGTTCTTTGAAAGGAGTATGTTTTTATTTTAGGGAGGATTACGGTCTACAGATATACCATTAACAATAAATAAAAGTAATTAAGGAGAAATTAATTTGTTTATGGCAATACTGCATGAGCTCGATTCGGAATACAAGTCGAAGAAAACGTTTCAGTAGATTAATTTTATTGTCATGCATGATGCATGTAAAGTTTATATGGACAATCACTTTCACAAATTTTCTGTTAAATATGTATATTTTTTACCTTCATATAAATTATAAAAAATTATCAATGTTGACTATATTTATTTGGTCATGTTAACTCCCAATAGGAAAAATGTCTCATCGAGCTTTGGAACCTCTTATAGTATTTTTTTTTCTTTATGTATGGCTTAATGCCGTTTTATTTCACATTTTTTACATAATAAATTTTGAAATTCTGTAAAATAATTATGGTTGCATAGATTATATACCCTCTTATTTTTTAACGTTCAAATTTATCATGTAAGAAAGTTAAAGACTATAATTTTACTATCTGAAGTAATATTCACGGATCATCAATATGAGTAGAAATATATAACAAATATATATATATATATATATATATATATATATATTTTCTAATTAGTATCATATTCAAATACGACATCAGATATATAGTTTGTTTGCCACTAAATTTTGTTAGTTGTTAGTTTTCGTGAAGTGAAAATATATGTAAAAGTTTGTTGTTTGGCCGGCATTATTAATTGTCCAAATCAGAGAAAATGAACTTATCTCCAAAAATTCGGAGTAAACAATATGTCCTAAGTTTTGAAAGACAAATAATCTATAAAATAGAGCGAAAATACCATATCTATATCAAATTAATCGTTTCCAACTTATTTACAAGATTGGGAAAAAGACATCATTCTCTGAAGACTATATAAACTTATCAGCTCTCTATATATATAGTTCACCAAAAAAATTTAACAATCGATCTTTTGACAAAAAGATTTGTTATAATCGGTACCATTTTAAGTAAAGAGTTGAGAGACTCTGCCTTAGGCATAATGCTCCCAGGAACATCGTTTACTCGTATGTTTGAAGATAGATCAATTTAGTTTTGTCTGTCTACTCGTTCTTTTTATAGCATATGTATTTTGGAAACATAATTATATTGGTATTAAAGAAGTTTCGATATTTCTAAAAGATACATGTTTGACCCGACTTATTTTTTAGTAACCTGCTGAAAGTTATAGTCAAAAAATCACAATTAACAAAGTTAATGTAAGATCTGGTAAACTTTCAAGTATAAATACGTAAAACGTATCAAGTTCATAAAACATAAAATAAAGAAAGATCGAGTGAAGTCAAAAAAAAAATTGGGTAAAAAAGAAAAGGAAAACTTGTTTAGAATATCTTTGAGAAACATAAAAAAAATCAAACAAAGGTAGCATACTAATTATCTGGTTTTATTTTATCACTAATAATGATATTTTATTGTCTTAGAATTCATAAATCTACATTTTTTATATTTTGTCGAATACATAAAATCTAAATTTACATTTTTTTACCTACTAAAAATTTTACTTGTTGTTGTTCGAGATAAGTTTTTTTTTATCTCTTGCTTTATTTCAAACTTATGGTGGTAATTACATAGAACAATCTGATTTAATAAACAACAAACATATTTTTATGCATATGTTAACAATATTTTAAAATAAATGAAAAACAAAAAGAAATTAATAAGCTAATTTATGCACATTTTAAAAATAACCTACAAAATTTCTAGAACTTTTTAATTAAAGTACCATGTAAATCAAAAGTTATTTAGGCTTTGTTGGGTTTTTTTGTGTTATGATCCTATATCGGAAGTAGGAGTTAAAAACCAGTGTTTGGATAAGAGCTGATGGAGAATAACCAAGTTATGGATGCAGAATATGAATTTCCAGGTATAGATAATTCAAGACTCGAGTTAAGTTTTTAATTTATCAAGATTATTTATTAATGATTATATTTTCCTTTTTTTGTTTAATAGTTGAGAGCTATTTGTATGATGAGTTGTGGAAGCTATCTGCTGGACCTTTGTTTGATCTTCCAAAATTTGGAGAAAAAGTTTATTACTTTCCGCAAGGGCACATTGAACATGTGAATTTATTTCTGATTATCCATCCTTCTAAGTTTTATGTTTTCTTCCTCTGTTTTAGTTTGTGAAACTTACTATGTAATTTGATGGCATTTTCAGCTTGAGGCACATACAAAAGATGAGTTATCTCAATTGAGACCAATTTTTGATATTCCTTCAAGAATTGGATGCAGTGTTATTGACATTCAACTTAAGGTATACCTCTATGATATTGATTTTTTTTTTCAGGGAATACATATGAGTTATTGGCTTAAACTATCAATAATATTAAATTTTTGTATGTATTTTCTCATGATAAATAAGTAATTTATTACTTATTTTTTTCTTGATTTTAGGTGGAGAACGAGACAGATGAGGTTTTTGCAAAAATTGCTTTATTACCAGATACAGCTGTGAGTAGCAAATTTCAAATTTTATTTATAATTTTCATAGTTTTTTTTTCTAATCCCTCTTACGCGATTTTTTTAATTTGTAATTTTCTAGGAAGTTGAAATCCCTATCTCTAATGTCAATCATGAAAGAATCAAAGTTAGTTCTTTCATAAAAGTTTTAACTGCTTCTGATACCAGCACACACGGTGGATTATCTGTAATAAAGAGACACGCTGTAGAATGTCTACCTCCATTGGTATTTTCACTTAGTTTCTGAGCCTAAGAAAATAACATAGTTTCTCAAATTGTAAGCTTCTATATGACTTTTTGTATTAAACTTTTATTTAGGATATGTCTCAGCCAACACCAAGTCAAGAAATAGTTGCTAAAGATCTTCATGGTTGTGAATGGAAATTTAAACATATCTTTAGAGGTGATGAATATTTTTTTTCATATCAAACTTTTTGATTAGTGACTACAGATTTTTCATTTATCTGTAAACAATCAACTTAATAGGTTCTCCATTGAGGCATATTTTCACAACTGGTTGGAGTGGGTTCGCAACATCGAAAAGATTGGTCACTGGTGACTCTTTTATATTCCTTAGGTATATATCTATATTTCCCTTTAACATCTTTTTTTCTTGGATTTTGGACTTTAACTATGTTTCTTGTTCTAGAGGAGAAAATGGGGAGTCACGAGTTGGAATCAGAAGAGCAGTTCATCAACAACGCAGTATACCTTTATCGATAATTTCAAAAGAGAGTATGCACCATGGAATAACTGCTACAGCAATGAATGCTATTAATACCAAATCTATGTTCATTGTATTTTGTAAGCTGAGGTAATGAAAAAAAAAACACTTTGTTATTCTAGTAAAAATTCATGGGATTCAGTTTTCTTAAACAAGTATGCTTATATTTTTTGTTACTGCTATGGTGATATCAGGTCAAGCCAATTCATCGTCAATTTCGACAAAGTTGTAGATGCAGTGAACAATAAGTTCTATGTGGGTTCAAGATTTACGATGCGATTTGAGAATTATGATTTTACAGTTATAAGGTATAACTTGAACATTTATTTCTTTTTATTTATTTTCAAAATATGATTTACTAAATTTTTTTTCATTAAAAAAGATATTCTGGAACAATAATTGGCAAGAAAGATTTCTCCTCTCATTGGCGGGATTCAGAATGGCGATGCCTAGAAGTAAGATTTTCTTAGAACCACTTTATAACATTATATTAGAATATCATTTCAAAAGAGTAATAAATAACATTCACTAACTCTGTTTTTTGTAGGTACAATGGGATGAGCCTGCATTAATTCCAAGACCTAATAAAGTTTCATCATGGGAAATTGAGCATATGGGATCTTCATCAAACGTTCACCAGTCAGCTTTGCTCAAAAACAAACGTTCACGCCAAGCTAAAGAAACCAGTAAACCAATAATTTTTAATAAAGTAAAACTTAATAATGAAACTATGCTCATTTAATTTATATTTGTAGGTTCAAATCTGTGGCCTCCTACATTGACTCAAGGCCAAGAAATTGGACAATCAACCGTGAACTTCCCGATGAGTGTTCCTCCGCTTAGTTATTGTGACGCAACTGATAGTTCAAACATTTCATCTGGTTGGCCGATAGGCTACTCAGTCCCTACCATGCCCAAACCAAACTATAACAATGAAATGGTTATGTCAGTGAAAGAAAAGATGACAACTGCTGTAACCACTGCTAATTACAGATTGTTTGGAGTTGATCTGACGTCTCCGAGAGAAACAGAAGATCCTATAAGACAGATTGACTCATACCAAAAATCCGAAATGTGCAAAATCACTAAGGAAAAAAATTGTGACCAAATCCAAACTCGGGCATCACCAAAAGAAATCCAAAGCAAGTCTACTAGAAGCCGAATCAAGGTATGTATTTTAAATAATCATTATTTTTTAGTGTACAACTAAAACATTAGAGAACATAGGTATTATTAAAAATAATCTTTATTAAAAGAAGAAACTGAACTATATATACTAGCATCCTTAATTTTTACTCTAATACACTTTTATAAATGAAAACATTAGTTCACATGTTCTTGATATGGTTATTAAACAGGTTCATATGCAAGGTGTAGCCATAGGAAGAGCTGTGGATTTAACGATTCTTGATGGATATAATCAGTTGATCGACGAACTGGAAAAACTCTTTGATCTCAAAGACGAGCTGCATACACGCAATCAATGGGAAATAATTTTCACTGATGATGAGGGAGATATGATGCTTGTTGGAGATGATCCATGGCCGTATGTTACTACTCTATCTTTCTTTATCTCTCACTTAAATCTTAGAAATGTTTTTAATGAGAATGGATGATTTTGCGTGCAGCAAGTTTTGCAACATGGTGAAGAAAATATTCATATGCTCAAAAGAGGAGGTAAAGATGATGAAATCAGGAAACAAATTTTTGGATGGTGACTCAGCCTTAACCGCAGCAATGTTGACATGTTCTGTAACACCAGACGTCAAAACAGGTAATAACCTCTCTAATTAAAAAGAAATCAGCAGAATAGGAAAGAGAGTCAAGATTTAAAGCAGAAGGAGATTTTTTTTTTTAAAAAAGTTGTTTGTTTCGTAATGTAATAAATAAAGGGGTGACATTTATCGTTAAGACAAATGTCTTTTTCCAGTTTTTCGGTCTTTTGTTTTTCGTCAGCATATTCATTGTTGTTGTTTTTTTTTTGTGGTTCATTGTTGTTTATGTTTGTAATGTATATGTTTTATCTTTCATAAACAATTAATAAAAATCCCCTTATTGTCGTGTTATAGCTTTTTTTTTCTTTAAATGTAAATCATTGTTTCTGCTTAATCATGTTATAGTTTAACAATTTGAGTGTGATATTATTTTGAGGGTCTTTTTAAAGAAAATTTTATGTAACGCTTGAATATAGATTAATTACTCTGTCCTCTTTAATACTTGTCATTTGCCAAGTTACGTTTCTAGGTTTCCAATATTTTAATTGCACAAGTATATGACTAAAAGTAGAACATTATATTGATTCAATACTATTCACTTGTCTCTTTTGGTTACAATAAAAAACTTGTATTGCATCATTCCTTAGAGTACGGTACATATATATAGATGGTTTTACTTGTTGGTGGTATGCTCCGCTCCCCGGTCTGGACCGGCTAAAGACCGAGACTGGCCCAATTGACCCCGGTTTACGATGGTCTTAGCCAAAATGGGCCTGGTCTGACAAACGCAGCCCGTTAGAGAGAAGCCCAACAGCAAGAGGCGGTGAGAGCTGAACGAGAAGCCCTAGAACGTCTCCTCGCTTGTGTACTATAAATAGTAAAATTGTTACTGTAGAAGGGATCTTTTCGGACCCGGAGAATAGAGACCTGAATATTATATTGAGTTCGTCGAGAATCCTCCGAACTGAACGAATTGTAACTAAGAACTTAATAAAATCTGATCAGCTTAAGATCTTTCGAACTCAAATTACCGGACCGACCTTGAATAGTTGAATATAATAATCAACAATTGGCGCCCACCGTGGGGCCGGTTCGGTAAACGGCCAGGACTATATGACAAGTAATGATGGACAACCGACCTCAATTCAGGTCGGGAGTCAGATGACCTGTGCTGATGGAATCATCCAGGTCGGAGGGTCTGTGGAGGGATGCGAAGGCAGCCCCGTACAACCCCAATCGGAAGCGCAACAAATCAGGACGGAGCCGAGCTCAAGCGGCGGGGCGCACCAGACCTCACCAAACCGAGCTCAAGCTGCCTTCGATCCAACTGCGCTTATGAACGCCTTCGCCGCGCAGATGCAAGAGTTGGTCAGAAGCAACGACGCGAAGTTCGCAACCCTCACCGCACAGATCTCCAACCTACAGCAAGAGAGTCCGATCAGAAGACGGAACCTCATTAGTGATTTCCAAGAGGAGCGAGACCCGCAATGCACAGTGGCACGGTCAGTAGTTCAACAGTACCAGCAGACATAGAGCCCATCTCAGCACGTGCGAGCTCAACCAACAGCGCGCGACCTGGAGATCGAGCGAATGCAGGCTCAACTGCGAGAGATCAGTTCAAAGTTTCACCAAGCCACCAGCTCGGCACCTGAAATCGACCGTGTAATCCAGGAAGCACATAAAACACCGTTCACTTCCCGGATCACCAACGTCCCCGTCCCAAACTTAGAAAAGTTTAAGCTACAGTCGTACGAGGGGAACTCCGACCCAAGGCATTTCCTTACCTCGTTCGGTATCGTAATTAACCGAGTGAAGTTCACCTCGGCCGAACAGAAGGACGCGATTCAATGCCAGTTGTTCGTCGAACACCTCGAAGGCATTGCTCTAGACTGGTTCTCAAGATTGGAGGCCGACTCCATCGATAACTACAAGGAACTCTCGACGAAGTTCGCAAAGCATTTCTCGATGTTCATCGGGCAGAAAACTTGTAACTCCGAGCTGTGGGAGATATCACAGGGCGAGAATGAGTCGCTCCGAGACTTCATGGCACGTTTCAAACAGATCGTAGCACACTGCACAGTGGACGATGACGCCGCTCTCGAGGCTTTGTACCAGAAAACGTGGTATAAATCCCCCTTTCACAAAGAGCTTCGCAGGAACAGACCGCTCACCCTCGAGGACGCGCTCCATAAGTCAAACATCTTCATCGCGGAAGAAGAAAAAGAAGCCGCCAAGGATCGGCAGTATTCAATGACAAAGCCAGGCCAAACGCCAACCCCCAAGGAGAACTCGGAAGCGAAGGCCCAGCCTGGGAAACCGCGCGGAGTAGTAAACCAAGTGGGACCGTCGAACCAGAGGACAGGACGACCTCCAAAATCCTGGAACACATGGCACAAGGACGACGATACGCCACTGAGTTAGCGTTTTTGCGAGTATCACGAGCGATACGGGCATAGCACGGAGGAATGCCGACATTTGAGGGATTTCCTACTCCAACAGTTCCGCAAGGGTGAGATCGACACCGCAGATTTGCCTAAACCGGGACCTCGGCGGCCGAACCCGTGACCAAACAAACCTGGCAATCAAGAAGCTGCCAAGGCAACCGACTCCGACGACGAACAGGTCGCTCCCCCTAAACGAGACCGCGAAGCACCTAATAGGGAGCCGAACGTCCCAAAAACCAGGAAGAAGGTCAATATGATTATGGGAGCCCTTGAATCATGCAACTACTCCGTCCGAGCTCTCAAAGAATACAGTCGGCAAGCGTCGAGTTCGCAACCCCAGACAACGGTCACAACCGTACCACTGTTATTCACCAAAGCCGACCTGCGGGGAGTGCACATGCTTCACAATGATTGCCTCGTCGTCGAACTCCAGCTCGGAGATGTCGAAGTCAGCATAATCTTAATCGACACAGGGTGCTCAGTAAACGTCATATTCAGAGAGACATTAAAGAATATGGATTTTCCGGACTCTGAGATCAAGCCCTACATGGAATCATTAACCGGGTTCACTGGAGAGAAAACAAGAACAGTAGGAACAGTGAAGATACCCATCTATGTCGGCGGGTCGGCTCGAATGATCAAATTCTTGGTCCTCAACAAACCGGCGATATACAATGCGATTTTGGGAACGCCCTGGCTGTTCGACATGAAGGCCGTCGCTTCAACGTTCCATCAGTGCGTCAAGTTCCCGACCCCATCAGGGATTTTCACCCTCAAAGGAAGCCAGACCGCCTCCCGATTATGCCATCTCACCGAGTGCAAGCTTAGCATGGCACGGACATGTGTCATAAGCCCCTTTCAGGACGGACGTACGGCCGCAGAAAGCCAGTTCGGTCCACCCAAGCAAAGCCAGGTCGACCAAGTCGGCATTGACCCAACAGATCCAACGAAATGTGTCGGCATAGGGGCCAAGCTCAACAACAGTATCCGGGAATCACTCATTAGTTTTCTCCAGAAAAACGTCTCCACATTCGCATGGAATATCAGCGACATGCCCGGAATCAATCCCGACATCACTTGCCACGAGCTAAACATCGATCCCACATATAAACCTATCAAACAGAAGAGACGCAAGCTCGGACCCGAAAAGGCACGAGCGGTAAACGATGAGATCGAAAAGTTACTCAAGGCCGGTTCGATCACAGAGGTTCGATACCCGGACTGGCTAGCAAACCCGGTAGTCGTGAAGAAAAAGAATGGAAAGTGGAGGATCTGCGTCGACTTTACCGACCTGAACAAGGCTTGTCCTAAAGATAGCTTCCCACTGCCACACATTGATCGGTTGGTAGAGGCAACCGTAGGCAACGAACTGTTGTCTTTCATGGATGCATTTTCGAGGTATAACCAAATCTTAATGCATCCGGATGATCGGGAAAAGACTTCGTTCATTACAGATCGAGGGATTTACTGTTATAAGGTCATGCCGTTCGGCCTAAAAAACGCGGGAGCCACCTATCAAAGACTCGTGAACCGCATGTTCGCCAGTCAGCTCGGAAAAACGATGGAAGTATACATCGACGACATGCTGGTTAAATCCCTGCACGCTAAGGATCATATATCGCACCTATCGACGTGTTTCGACATTCTGAACGAGTACGGGATGAAACTCAACCCCGCCAATGCACCTTCGGCGTGACAGCAGGCAAATTCCTGGGTTACATCGTCACCGAGCACGGCATCGAGGCTAACCCGAAGCAGATATCCGCAGTTCTAGACCTTCCTTCTCCGACTTCAGAAAGGGAAGTACAAAAGCTCACAGGCCGAATCGCCGCCCTGAACAGGTTTATCTCCAGGTTGACGGATAAATGCATGCCGTTCTACCAGTTGCTACGAGGTAATAAGCATCATACCTGGAGCGCTGAGTGCAAAGACGCCTTCAAACAGCTAAAAACGTACCTCTCGACCCCCCCCCATTCTAGCTAAGCCCGAGTACGGCGAGACGCTCTTCTTATAAATCGCTATTTCCACATCGGCAGTTAGCAGTGTTCTAGTTCGCGAAGATAGGGGAGAACAGCGTCCAATATTTTATGTCAGCAAATCGCTAAGTGACGCCGAGGCCAGGTATCCGACCTTAGAAAAATTGGCGCTTGCAGTAGTAGTTTCTGCTCGGAAACTTCGGCCATATTTCCAATCTCATTCAATTACGGTCTTGACCGACCAGCCACTCCGAACCATTCTACATAGTCAAAGCCAATCAGGTCGCCTCGCGAAATGGGCCGTCGAACTAAGTGAATACGACATAGAGTACAAGAATCGGACCAGCATGAAATTCCAAGTACTCGCCGATTTCCTGATCGAACTCCCCAAAGAGTTCGTCGTCGAACAGCCGCCTCGCGAGCTATGGATCCTGCACGTCGATGGATCGTCATCTCATCGGGGATCGGGTATCGGAATCCGCCTCAAGTCCCCTAACGGCGAGATCCTCGAACAGTCGTTCCGCCTTGAATTCCCAGCATCTAACAATGAGTCTGAGTACGAAGCTCTACTTGCCGGGATGCGATTGGCTATCGAGCTCGGCGTGCGACATCTTCACGCTTTCTGCGATTCGCAGCTCGTCGCAAGTCAGTTAAGTGGAGAATACACGACCAAAAACGAACGAATGGACGCATACCTAACGGCGACTAAGACACTCATTGCTAAGTTCGAGACGTTCGAACTCACCAAAATCCCTCGCGGCGAGAACTTGTCCGCCGATGCGTTAGCCGCCCTGGCATCCAGTTCCGACCCGCATCTAAAGAGAAGGATCCCTGTCGAAAGTATCTCGGAACCGAGTATCAAAACCGCGCTGAAATGTAACGTTGCTACTCGCCGACGGAACTACGACGACAATCCGACCTCGGTGGGTACGCAAAACAAGGAGTCGACTCGGACGAGCAAGAATGCCGAGCAGGAATTTAAAGAAAGCGCCGAGCACGATCCAGAAGACCTAGCCGCCGATCACGACTTCGAGCACATAAACGAAGGACTCCACAGTCCATCAACCAGTGAAAGCCAGGCAAGCGAGTCCACCGAAGATTGGACAGCCGAACTGCGAGAATACCTCCTCAACGGCAAAGTCCCCGACGACAAGTGGGCTGCTCGCCGTCTTAAAGTCCGGGCTGCCCATTACACAATGCATAAAGGTAAGCTATTTCGTTGGAGTGCATCTGGAGTACTCATGGCCTGCGTTTCCGGGAACGATACAGTCGAAATCATGCGCGAAATCCACGAAGGGTCCGGCGGCAATCATTCTGGAGGTCGATCTCTCGCTCTGAAAATCAAAAAAGCCAGTTATTTCTGGCCGATGATGAACGCGGACTGCGAGAAGTTCGTCATGAAGTGCGATAAGTGCCAGCGCCACGGCCCAATGATTAACGTTCCGACCGAGCTATTGCAAACCAGTACGGCCCCGTACCCGTTTATGCGGTGGGCTATGGACATCGTTGGCCCTTTATGCCGATCGACGAATCAAAAGCAGTATATCTTGGTTATGACCGACTACTTCACAAAATGGGTTGAGGCCGAAGCATACTCGGAGATTACCGCACTGGACGTGCAAAAATTCGTTTGGAAGTATACCATTTGTCGACACGGGTCCCGCACGAGATTGTCACGGACAACGGACCACAGTTTATTGCTGGAACGTTCAATGATTGGTGCGCAAAGTTCAAAATCCGTCTCAGTTTCTCGACCCCACGATATCTGCAAGGCAACGGCCAGGCCGAGGCAAAGAACAAGACAATCCTGGACGGCATAAAGAAACGTCTCGATGCTAAGAAAGGCACTTGGGCGGACGAGCTCGACGGAGTCTTATGGTCGCATCGAACTACTCCCAGACGATCGACTGGGCGATCTCCCTTCTCTCTAGCATACGGACTTGAAGCCCTCTGTCCGGCAGAAGTAAGCATTCCAACTTTAAGATACTCCATGCTCCCCGAGAACCCAGACCTCAACGACCAGATGATGCTGAACAACCTCGATACCTTGGAAGAACAACGCTGTCTAGCTCTTCTCCAAATCCAGAACTACCAAAAGCTCGCTGCTCGGTACTACAATAAGAAAGTACGAGGCTGGCATTTCGATGAAGGCGACCTTGTTCTGCGCAAAGTGTTCCATAACACCGAGGAGCTAAACGCAGGCAAGCTGGGAACGAACTGGGAAGGTCCCTATCAGATAATGAGAATCGTCAAGCCCGGAGTTTACGAACTCATGCAGCTCGACGGAACTCCGATCCCGCGATCCAGGAACTCAGCAAACCTGAAACGGTATTACTACTAAGTCCCAGCTACCACGAGCTCGGACTAAAAAAAAAAAAAAACCAGTCCGGCTCCGGCCGAACTCACCCCTGTAAACTGACCTACGAGTGGCTTGATCCCTTGCAAAAGGGTACGTAGGCAGCTCGATTTCGAGTCCAGCAACAAATCCAATAAAAACCCATCTTTTTAATTTCTATAACTAACTCCATATATCGACTCCCCGGCCAGGAGATCGAACTAAGTATTCCCCATGAATACAATCTTAAAAGCCGAGATCCATCTCGCCCGCACTCCCACGGTGCCCACTATTCAAAGCCGGAGCCCAACCCGCACTCACTCTTTCGAACAGCAATCCGCCGACCGCGATTCAAGTTCGAAGAGTTCCTCGAGTTCGTCCGCATCGTCACAGTAACATCACGAACTCCAAACTTAATCGAAACAAGCCGAACTCCCAACAGTTCTCAATAAAATAGCAAAGGAAAATTCAAAGTCAGGATAAAGGGAAGCCATATTCATTAATATATCCGAACTTGCCGAACTAGACGACAACAAATACATCGTCTAAAAACGGCGGTCAAAACAAAGTACTAAGTAAAAACCCCGAACTACGCGGGCAGAATAGTCTTTACAACATTAAGATAAAACAAGAGAGAAAGCTAAGAAAAACTAAGAGGATTATTGACGAGCGACGGATGCCGGACTCTTGAGACTTGCCGCCCGATCAGCCGAGATCGACTTAGAATTCGAGCCGAACTGATCCAAGCCCTCTGGAACTTGCGTCCCCGGAGGAAGCACAATCCTCGGGATGAGGTTGTCATCGCTTGGGAGTTGGAAATCTTCGTTCTGGAACCGCGGAAGGGGGATGCCGTCGACCTCCTTTGTGCAGTTCCTGATCCTGCGCTCATACGTCTCCACGATGTGAGACGAGACGATCATGTTGTGCTCTCTCTTGAGGAAGTCGCAGAAGCCGACCAGAGCGGTCGCCTGGTTGAGTTTGAGGAATGGCGCTTTCCGGAGTTCGGACTTGTCCATGAAGTCCTTCATCTTGGAGAGCCTCCCCTCGCACTTGCCTCTCAAGGCGGCCAGCATTTTCTTGCTCTTCGACTCAGCGTCTCGGTACCTCCGCCTCTCGAGCTCGCTGGCCTTGAACGACTTGGACAGAGCGTCCACGTCTCCCTCTAGCTCGACGGTTCGCTTCATCATAGCCTCGACCTGCTCTTTCAGAGCCGCGTTCTCCTTCTCCTTCTCAGTAAAGGCCAGCACGGCGGCCTCGTACCTCCCCTTCTCGTCCCGGTACGACGTCTCCAGTGACGCCCTCTCGGCAGCGACCTCGGCGTTGATCCTCCTCAGCCTCTCGACCTTGGAGTCGTACTCGCAAACGAGCTCGTTGGTATTACAGACAAGCTGAAAATAGAACCTAAGTCAAAACACTTCAAAAATAGAAAAAGCATAAGTATTCAAGGCAAAAAGAAACTTACGGTAGAAGCAGACTTCGCGACCCGAGCGTAAGACTTGGGGCGGAAAAGGTCTTTGGTCTCCGGCATTGGAGACGAGGCCGGCACAATCTGCCTGAAGAGCTCGGCACAGGCGGACAAGTCGTCGAAGAAAGATCGGTCCTTATTGTACTTGAGCCGGACTGAGAATGATGACGAATCAGAAGTCCGACGCCTCTTTGACGACCTCGGGTTCTCAGTCTCGGTAGCCGGATCCGATGGAGGAACCGGAGAAGCGTTAGAAGATTCGTGAAGGACCAAAGTCCCCTCACTCGCGGCCGTCTCGGGTTCGTCACCCCTCCTCCGAGACGATTTCTTCGGAGCCTTGCCCTTCTTCCTCCGGGCACGGTCAGCAATGGTGAGCTCGTCTTCCTCCTGCTCACCAATCTCCCCCTCCTCCATTTGAGGCTGAGGAGTCGTCTCGGGAACACTAGTCCCCGCCACATCACCCTCCGGTTCCGCGACCGGGATCAGAAGGTCAACTGGGCCAACCGGGACGTTATCAACCCCGTCCCCAACAGCAACTTCGACGCCGCCACCAGCCTCGGTCCCATCGAGACAAACGACGTCGATTGGGGCATTGTCGTCTTCTTCATCAGCCCCAAAGTTCATGACAGGGATATCCGACCTGTCGAACGCCATCCTCCGACTCCTCTTGTTACTTTTCTTCGATTTCTTCTTCTTCGGGACTGGTCTCGACGAACTGGGCTCCTCCTTATTTTTAGCTACAAAAAAAAAAAAACAAGTATCAGCCATAGTATAAGTGATAGCAAATTCAGGACGATCCGAGAACTCATACCTCTGTCCTGAGCCCTCTTTATCCGGCGGTCAATCTTCTCCCGGTAAGCAAGTGGCCAACGGCGCTGTCCGGCGAGACTAAGTTGCTTCGCTAGGTCGGACGTAAGAGAACGTTGAATAAACCCTGGAACGTGGCGATCTGCATGAGCATAAAAACATTTGTTAGTACCGACCAAAAAATAGAGAAGTTAACCGTGAGATATGTACCGAAATCGATACTCCAATCGGTCCGGAACGTGCTCTCAGGATTCTCAGCAGATACCGAATCCACACGGACAAAAAAGTAGCTCTGATCCCAGTTCGGAAACTTGCTAGCCTTGTTCCCGGTCACCAGGTCGAACTTCGGGTTGCAATTCACCGACAGAAACCAACTTTTCGCCGCCGAGACCTTCATGATAAAAAGCTCCTCGAATTGAGCGACATTGATGTGAGCCCGGATGTCACGCCCGAGCTGGAGGATCCCAACAAAATTTACTATCGACGCCGGCTGAAGCTGCAAGATCGCACAGCCGCGACGGTTACAGTATGCAAACAAAAAGCGAGGCAGGGGAAACTTCAACCCGGCCTCGCGGAAGTAGGCTTCATAAACACAGATGAAGTCCTCGGGTGCGTCCCAAGGACGCTCATCCGGTTCGGGAACCTGGACAATGATCCCGGGAGGGGCTCCGCTGACCAGCAAAGCGGCCCGAACTGTCTCTGGAGATGACAGTGTGGATTTTACCGGGGCGCATACACACGGCCGATCCACGATCGGCATCATGTTGTCGTCGTCGGGATCCTGCGCTTCCTCATCCCCGACCTCGTGCAATGGAGCGTCCTCGTCCGTGTTCACATCGGGCCCCCGCTCCAGGACCAGATCGGCAGGAACTTGGCCCTCGGGTTCGCGGGGATTCCGATCCATCCGTTTCGGAGCCCGAACCAGAGAAGCATTCGAGGAATGCTCCGTAGACCCCGAGCTCGAGATCTCGGTAGAAGTATCCTCCCTGCGGTGTTCGGGAAGTATCGCGGCCTCAGAATTGGAAGAAGAGTCGGAAGTCATCGTCGGGAAAGTGAATCGTCGACGAGAGAGCACGGCGGACGGCGACCGGAAATTCTAGAGAGAGAAAGAAGAAAAGATAGAGAGAAAGGAGAGCAAATACCTCGGCAGTAGGAGCGAAAGTAGGAAATGGGGAGAGCTGAACCCTATTTATAGAAAAAGAGCGAATCATTGCGACTTCTCGAGTCCCGCGCCTCGTAACGTCTCGATTTCCCGTCTAAACCGACGCGTCTTTTCAGCTCCCCGCAAGTGAAAATACCTAAGTACCCTTACCAAGGCACCGGAGATGACGAAAGGCGCGAACCGGGAACTCAACGTCACCGACCTCAGCCTGTAACCGATCCAACTCTAAATTCGGCAAAAGTCAGTCAGGTCCATTTACCGAACTGGGGGGGGGAACATACTGTTGGTGGTACGCTCCGCTCCCCGGTCTGGACCGCCTAAAGACCGAGACCGGCCCAATTGACCCCGGTTTACGATGGTCTTAGCCAAAATGGGCCTGGCCTGACAAACGCGACCCGTTAGAGAGAAGCCCAGCAGCGAGAGGCGGTGAGAGCTGAACGAGAAACCCTAGAACGTCTCCTCGCTTGTGTACTATAAATAGTAAAATTGTTACTGTAGAAGGGATCTTTTCGGACCCGGAGAATAGAGACCTGAATATTGTATTGAGTTCGTCGAGAATCCTCCGAACTGAACGAATTGTAACTAAGAACTTAATAAAATCTGATCAGCTTAAGATCTTTTGAACTCAAATTACCGGACCGACCTCGAATAATTGAATATAATAATCAACATTACTCTATTCAAAGATCTTGTAAGAGCAAATAACTGAGCTTGAAGATTTGACATAAAAAATAATTGAACAATAAACTCGATTATAACAAAGTTTCAAAAAATATATTTAAGATTCACCATATATAAGTGATTAAAAAGTAAAAAAAAAAATATATTGTATCAGAGACGTCTGGCTTCTTCTTGCTATACAAGACCACCTAGCCAAGTTTGTACCGATTACCACAAATCCAACCGCTCCTGCTCTCATCGGACACATCCTTAACGTTCCTCTACCCCAACTTCACTCGACTGCCTTGCTGTTCATTCCGAACTTCCAGTCCCGCCATTTTCTCTTTCACTCTCTATCTCAATATCTATTGATAATATGTCTTTTTGTATGAGTAATTATCTCTCAAGAAAATTTAATTGTTAGATTGACTATCTATTTCGTTACAAAAAAATATGGATGATATACCAGATATCTACGAAACTAAAATCTGGTACTAAATCTCCTTGAAAAAAAAGTTCTAAATGTATTTCTTCCTAAAATTAAAAATTTGAAACCTAAAAACACACAAATTGATACTTAGAAACCTCACAACACACAAAATAATTTTTCTTTAGTTTATTATTTACCAATTAATTGTTAACCAACTAGGCTCGATACTGAAGCGAGTTAAACCCAACTTGACCCAAAATAAACCCGACCATATCCGAAATAAAACGACCCGACACCACATCTTATTTTTCTTCTTCCCCAGTCATTTTCTTAGTCTCTTTCACAGAGTGTGAGAATCTGAAAAGAAAAAAATAAACTATATAATAAAGAGAAAATTAATAAGGAGTTAAATAGATGAATATATTTGTTCGCCGATAATGATACTTTGTCTTAAGGGCAGAGAGCTTATCTTCTTCTTTTCTGGGAAATTGAAAGGTGGTTCTGAGATCGTAATGACTAAAATATCATACCTTTTTGCTTCAAACACGGTTTTCTTTCAGTTTCTTTCTATTTAATTGTTAGTTTTTAATCTGTTCTTAATAGAGTGTGAGAAATTGGTTTTCAATTTCTCCGCCTCAACTTCTGTACAACCTCCTAATTCTGATTTCTCTGTTACTCCAACTACTTCGGCAAAAGCTCTATCATTGGCCTTTGAACAAAAAAAAAAAAAAAAAAAAGCTCTATTATTGGCCCAACCTCGAAAATCTCCCTCCCCTCTTTCAGCCATTTTAATTTCGGCGACCTTCCGTCAACGACAAAAAGATTTATGGTAGACGAGACTCTAATTCGAAGCACAATGAGTTTTATTTCAAAATCTTAGTAAATTACGATGAAGAAGAAGAAGTCGGGTTGTCGGGTTAAATTTTTGGGTTGAGTTAAATTGGAATTGGGTTTTAGTTCTGTATAAGATCATGTTTGGTGGTTTTTGTTTTGGTTTGTGAATAGTAACTATTAATTGATAATAAGTTTCGAATTTTTAAGTTGATAAAATATAGATTTAGAACCTTTTTCGGAGAGATTTAACACAATGTTTAGTATGTGAAACATCTTGTGTTATACAATACTTTTTAGAGGGAAAATAAATCTTTACTTATTTTGTAAAATTTGTTATATTTTTATGTTGTTGAAATGTGGAACTGAGATTTGATTACATTCTTATGGAAGGAGTATTGGAGGGATACTATATAATACCATTGATAATAAATACAAACAATTAAGGAGAAATTACTTTGTATATGGCGACATTGCATGAATGTTTTAATAGATTTTCTGTTAGGTTTAACGTTACACAGATGAATTTTGTTGCCATGCAAGTTTATATGAACAATCAATTTTGGAAATTTTCTGTATATTCTCAACCTTCTGTAAAATAAACAAAAATTATCAACGTTGGCAGTATTCACTTGGTCATCCTCTCCTCCAATAAGAGATACTTCAGTGTGAGCTTTGGGATCTCTGATAATATTTTTTTCTTTAAGTATAGTCCATGTTCAAAAATTTGCTAGGTGCTAGTCGGGCGGTCGGATAACGCCTAGCGCCTAATCAATAGGTTTAATCAAAGATTAATGTTAGGGCTTTTCTCTAATTAGTAGATATATATTATATATCGTTAATTAATTTATAAAATAATGCTTTGGTTTAGTGGTTCAAGCATGTTGTTACTAGTCGGGTGGTCGGGTAGCGCTTAGCGCCTAATCAATAGGTTTAATCAAAGATTAATTTTAGAGCGTTTCTCTAATTAGTAGATATATATTATATATCGTTTATTAATTTATAAAATAATACTTTGGTTTAGTGTTTCAAGCATGTTGTTAGTTTTTAATGTCAAGGCTTCGATGCCCGGAGGGCCAAATTTTGTGTTTACCTTATTTTAATTTGAATAAGGTAAGTGGTAAAATTTCTCACATCGACAAAAGAGACTAAAGGTTACCCCTTCAACATCTTCTATAGATAACTAGATGATCCTCCGCGTTATGCGCGGTTTTAGTTTTATAAATGTTTTATTAATATGGTTTGTTGTAATTTTTGCAAATGTGATATTTGTGTATTATATTAATGCATTTTATAAATTAAAAAAATGTTAATACATCAAAATAAATATTGTGATTTAACTCACTGAGTTAAAAGTTTAAAACTATTAGCTAAGCAAAGATTTGACATATGTGTTGAAATCATTGTTGTCATTTGTTAGCCAACTTTTCAAACAGTATAATTCTCTGGTTTTGGTGTGGATTTAAACTTGACTCCTTATTTGGTGCATTAACACTTATGGCTTCTTATAAGTTTTTCAATACATAGTGGAAGAAAAATTGTTATCTCTATACTAATAAGCCAGAGGATGTCATTTTTCCTCTTAGTATCACAGCCATACAAATAGTTTTTTTTGTTTCCTTTGTTCATACCTTTGACTTGTTCCTGTTGAAAACGTCTTACTCTTTTACCACTACTTCAAGAATATGGGAATATGTTTTCGATGATGCTCTATGCTCTTTGCTCTCATCTTTTTCCTTCTCATGTGTCTTTTTCTTTGTTCAAATTTTAACTTTTTCAGTACATCCTTATGCATGTTTTCATTTTTGTTGCAATATGTTTCCTCGAGTAAGTGGCTTTTGATTCCAAAAATTAATCTGCATCATAAAATGTAGACAATAAAGAGAGAGGAAGAAACAGATGCCTAATCACCTTTAACGTTTTGATATTCTTTTTGATACCTTGATGGCTTTGACATTTTTGTTATCACTTCTATTCTCTTTTGCTTAATTGATTGCGATAAGTGAATTGTTTGCAGTATAATCCTAATCACAAAAACGTACATGTTCTGCACCAAATATCTGCAATAACTTGTGGGTATTAAAAAAGAAGTTGACGGGCATAATTAGAAGTTGTAAGATCAATTTTCTAAGCTGTGCCAAGCAACTTTGCCGTTAAGAAGCTAAGGTGTGAATGTAGGCTAAAAATTGCATTACTGGCCCAAAGATAACAAATTGTGCCAAGAAAATCACTGAATCACTTAGACACCATTGTTGATATTACCTGAAATTTGTGGGCCAAATAAAAAATAGAAAAGAGAAAGTCTATGCTCCACCTACCTCTCTGTTTGGTTCGGATTTATCCACTTCGGGAATGATCTGGCGCCGTGAAGTTGTTTCATTACTTCTCGGGTGTATTACTCTGTATTCACCTTTCCGATCTTCTCTCCTGATCTCGTTTTGATGTATTAGTGTTGTGTATTTCTCCTTGTTTCTTTTGATGATTGATTATAATGATGCCCTTCTAAAATGGGGAAGAAAAGAGAAGTAAAATATGAGTTATTATAAAAAAAAAAAGAAAGTCAGAGAGGACCTAAACAGAAACGGGATTGCTGGAGATGATTGTTTACGCCTTCTTTACATTTCTTCCCATTTTGCATCGGTTCAATATTGATAGTTTCAATATTACATTATCTTCTTCCCATTTTTGTAGTACTTACATAAATTTTATTTAAGAATTATTTAATAATTTTTTTTAAAGTTGTTTATAAATTAATATTAAAATTTATTAATTAATTTTATTTTTAAAAACTGTAATTTTAAATGGGTTTTTTTCTTCAACCATTTTAAATTTTTATATTTGGATTATTAAAAAAATTATATATGATCATCATTTTATGTGTTAGTATATTATTATTAATTAATTAATTTAAAATCTAATTTCATTAAAATTCAAAAATTTATTTAAAAACATCACCTTT